ACAAATTTAAACTTTTTTGCCAAAATTTCATTTAGTCAGGTTTATAGGCTTTAGTTCCAATTTCGATATGATTGATGACCTGCATAGGAAAATGTTTTGCCATTACCGTATATTAAATTTTCCTCTTAAAATAAGTTTTAAAACATGAACTACCTTTTATATAGTTAGAAGTTTGGTAGTAAAAATTTGAAAAATACATTTTTTAGTCAAACTGATTCAAGGAACACTTTAATTACGGAGTAACCGACCCTAAACTCTGTAAATTTGCCGAAACACGCCTGAAATAACTGCACACCGATTACATCAAGAATTAAACAGATAAGACATGTAAAGCTGCGTGTAAGAAACGTCAGATGTGTAAAAATAGATCGTAACCAAGAAATTAACTACCGTGTAAAATTAGTTCATAACAAATCTCAATTGCGCGAATAATTTACAACATCCTTGAAACAATCTATGGAATGTTCGATTAGTTTGGTTTCATAGAATGCAATTTGTCGCTGTAACTTCGATGCATCATTGAACGAAGTAAAGTAATTAATCGATTTGATGAAAATTGTTTATCAAGTGAACATTATACTACCTTTGCTTGAACGTTTGTCGCCAAACATCAGAAATGTAATTACGAAAATATAAACTTATTTTAGTTTATATTTTCGTATATTCGTATACTATATGTATACAGGTAAAATTTTTGTCCCTAATTCGTGGTAGGAAAATTGTTTTTTATGACGATGAGCAAACGAGCAAAATTTCCTGTGCGCAAAAATTAACTCGCGTTTAAACAGCGTAATAACTGGGCCGGTCAGGCGCTGTGCACAATTTTAGAGGCCATAAGTGGGCGTGCTATGTGCGCAAACTAGTAACATAAGTAGTGCGCGTCTCCGAAAATTGGAACCACGAAAAACAATGCTTTTGACGATAAGTTTATGATCTATATAATCTGTGGTAACAAGTTCGATGACAGATTGTAAGTATTTTAACTGGTAGTATAGTACGACCCCAGAAACAGCCCCATGAGTTTTTTTTGTCAAAAAAAAAAGCTGAAAATTTTATATTTTTCTTGACATTTGCCGGAAAGTATTGAAAAACTTTTGAGTGCCACTTGTTCAGTTTCTAGGAATTTGTTTATAGTGCTTCAAAAGAAAGCAATGTTATCACTTCCTACGATATCCAGATTCTGTTTGTTTATAAATTATAAGTTGACATTTATAAATTTCTACCAAAAGAACTTTAATTAATTTTATTCACTATAGATTTTTTAATCATTGTAGATTACTATTAAGTATAGAGCAATGTCTACTACATTTTTATGTATATTATGTATGTATAATGTCTACTACATTTTTATGTATATTATGTATGTATAATGTCTACTACATTTTTATGTATATTACAAATAATTCAGATGGCATATGAATATATTTTGTGTTAAATACATGTGCAAGTGTAGTGCTGTCAAGAACTACACTTGCAAGAACACAAGAAATGTTGTTAAGTGTAGAGTTGCGGTTTTAGGTAATCTGATAAAACGATCATCATCAACCAGCTAATGTCCACTGCTGGACATAGGCCTCTCTCGTTTGCTTCCATATCTCCCTATCTTGAGCTATTTGCATCCATTTACTGTGGATACGCCTTAAGTCGCCATGCCATCTGTTTTTTTTTCCATAAAAAGGGGCCGTCCTCTGCCGGAAACACTGCGATCTGTGAGACCTATTGTGTTTGTCCCCTTTCTGTATCTGCACCCATTCTCTTATCCCTGTGCCCCGCACTAACTTATGCAGGTCCTTGATAGGATGGGAGCATAGTTCCTCCGGTTCTAGCCTAGCTTTCCCAAATAAAAAGTGTCGTTTGCGATCCAGAGCCTCGCAATGACATATTATGTGCTCCGCTGTTTCAGAATCTTTATCGCAGAGTCTGCAGCAAAGACTTCCTTGATACAGATTGAGCCTGTTCCGGTAACACTTGACATCCATGTGTCCTGTCAAGAGGCCTGTTGTAATCCGCAATATATTCCTGCTAAGCATTAGCAGTTCTTTTGCGGTTTTAGAGCTACTTCCTTGGATAAAAGCCTTGCTGTGTCTGTACCCCTGTCTGTTTCTCCAGTGGAAATTCTGCTTTTCCCTGATCCAGAACTTTAGTGCACTACGGGCCATACGTTTGGGTATTCCTAGTACTGGCTCTGGACCAAGATAGGATACTAATGATTCTTGCCTAGCTAGGTCATCGGCTTTTTCATGCCATCTGGTTGGAGAACAGCCTCTGCTCCTGAATGCATCTCGTCTTGGTCTCAATTCAATTATTTTCTTTGTCCATCGGTCATCGTTAAGCCTTGCAATGTGCCCTGCCCAATCCCATTACAAAGAAGTTAATTTCTCAATGGCATCCATGAATTTTACTCTGCGTCCCCTCCCCCGTACTTTGATATTCGGTACTTTGTCTCTCGGAGACATTGATCCAACATTGATCTTTCCATTGCTCTTTGCGTTATTCTGATTTTGCTTACTGTTTTCTTGGTTAATGTTAGGGTCTTAATGCGCAGTAGTAGTACGCATTGATTAAATACCTGATAAAACAATGCTCTGCTAATTACATCGATCTGTCGGAGTCCTGTTTTCTAATGTCAGGTGTGTTTTTACCTATCTGAATTTTCCAAGTCGTTTTTAAATCTTTCTAGTCGATGTGTCAACACTGGACGTCGAACAAGCTGTGATTCTGTTAATTGCTTGGCATTTGCGGCTGATATCGATTGCTGCCGGTGGCTCTCAAAATGTTACCATTATTTTTTTAAATTTTCAAACTTAAATAAGTGGATTATTATAAATTTATTTTAAAAATGGTAAAAAGAAAATGTGTTTCTTTAGGCCAGATCTACCACACCTTAAAATACTTGCACAATTTATATCAGATGACACTCAGTGATACATCTAACTAAAATATGGGGTATAAGTTCAAAAATAAACACAATGTCAATTTAATGCTGGGTCCAGACCAAGCAAACAAAACAACGACAAGTCAGAAACATTCATGTTTTACGACAAAATTGCGACAAATCCAATACATTTCTGCAACATTTTTGTCTCATTTTTGTTTTGTTTCAAAATTCGGAGGCTTTTCAATATCCCGTCTCGAGTCGGTAAGGATCAAAGTGTCTATGTTTTGTTCGTATATTTGACGGCAACTTGTCAGCGCAGTGTGGATGGCGTGTGCTGCCAACAGTAGGAGACCAGTGAAATCACACGTGATGGTTAATAAAACTCATTCCCAACTACTAAACTTTTGACTTTTTTGTACTTTTGTCCTTGCGGTGCGGTGTGGACAATTTGTCTCAAGTCTGTCTTGTCAAAATTCCCCATCTTTTGTTGCAAGTTTGTCTTGTTTTTGTCTCAAAATCGTGTTTACTTTTTGTCGCCTTTGGACCCTGCATAAGAAAATATCTCATTTTATAAATTATATGTATTATGTTTTAAAAAAAGTTCAGATAATAAATGCGAATATCATTCTATATTTTTGACGAGTTATAATATGAAATAATTTATTCAAAATAACGTTGTAGATGTCAAAATAACTTGCAATTGAAAGAAATCCACCTGCACATTTTAACAAGATTGTGAAAGGCAATCGATTGAGTTCATTTCACAAAAAAAACAAAATTGTTCTCTTTCCTCTGGCAACCAATTTAAAGCGAAATAACTAGTTTTTCTTCAGCCTTCTAAGTTTTCCTTGAAAATTTTAATAGGCTTTTTCTGTAGAACATATTATTCCAATATGAGTTTCAGGGTTCTCACTTTAACTCGATAATAAAAATTATTAAATTTGATACCTACTAATTTTATTATGGAAATACTTTTTGTACTTTGAATACCGTATGATCGAAAATAAACGGCGTCCAGTTGGCTGGGAAATGATAATCGATGACATTTCCCATATAAATTTACATATAAAATGACAGCGATCTTCATTTCATAGCCATCGCTGACTCTGTTTTTTCTCGATCATACGGTATTATTATTTACATTAAAAGTGTATTATGTATTTTAGTTTGTTTCTTTATATGTTATAATGAACTAATTAATTAAATATAAACCTTATAAGTATGAGTGATAGATAGGCTTTTAAATGAATCTACTGAAGAAATACAAATAACAATAATATTTTAATAATCAAATTAAATTAACTTATATTTGTACATTGCTGTACCCCAGTAGCAAACTATATTAAGAGTCCATTACACTAGTCCGAAAAAATAGCAAAATAAGCGTTTGGCATTTAACGTTTTATGTAAAACTGGCTAGGCATTTTTACACAAATGAAGATGGAAATAAAAGATAAAGGATTATACTATATGCGTATTGTAACACATTTTTAGACAACTACTTTATTTTTAAGATTTTGATTGTCAAGCATCAACAAAATATTCCTTATGTTTGGACTAAATTTTTTCGAAAATAAAGACATAGTTTAAAATTCTTTTACGATACGGAAATAGATGGAAGTTTTGTGATTACAGTGATAAATAATTTATATGGTTTTGTAACAAATTGCTCGCTATTTTATGGCAAATGCTGAAGCTCTGCAAATCTTAATCAAGCCTTAATCAAAGCACGTGTGTTTGGAATTTTGGGTGTGGCTCAACATGACAGGATAATCCAGGCAGATTTTTGAAATATTATATATATTTCCTTCGGCCACACACCCGCTTTACCAGACCCCTGAACGCGACCCGAAAATACATCGTAATAGACTCTTAAATCACAAAACTTATACTTATTTTGAGAAAAATCAATTTAAAGTGCTTTTTTGAAGTTATTTCCTAATTACTAGGTTATATTTAAACCTATGACGTAATACTTGGTATATGAACAACTTATTTTGAACTTAAATGAAATGTAAAACAGTTTTTTAATAGTTACTGACTTATAATTGTTATATTAGAAAAAAAACAGGACTTAACTTATATATTAAGTCATTATTTATGCCAGAATGAAGGTACTTACTTGCAACCCAATAGCGTTATCACACGACGTAACCAAAACGGGTTTCCCAGCTCCTGGTGACGTTTCTGACAGTTCACTCTCGTGATTGCCACGAATCTTACAGATAAGGTACAACAATAGCGCTCCTGCTATGGAAAACAGGGCTACCAACTGTAAGGCCAACACCAAGGCCGTTTGCTGGTCCATCATGCTGACCTAACCTGAAACACAAAAGGCGTGGTTGTAGTATGAATATAAATACGATTTGTTTCTTAAAGGGATACATACAATAATGAATGCAAATAAAACTGTGTCATGGTTAATAAATATAATAATAAATAAATAATATAATAATAAATATAACTATATAGTATTATTGTGCACTATTGCCCTATCAAGTTCAGGGTGTCTCATTGTGGTGTATTTTACAGGGTTTCGAGTTTATGAGTAGAGATACAAAGATGCGGTTATGAGTGACATAATATGTCACTCATGTCACAGGAACAAAGAGGGCTAAGACAAATCTGTATGTGTGTGGGATATTTAGTTTCATAAGCACATAATATGTGCTAAATATGTGCTAATATGAAACTAAATATGCCACACACATACAGATTTGTCTTAGCCCTCTTTGTTCCTGAAATACAGGGCAAATTTGGAAATTTTAGGTCCTTTTGAGCCAGTACCCGGAATTCCAGGTCCTTTTGAGCCATCAAAGAACCGGGACCCATAATTATTAATTCCCGGTCCTTTCGGTACTTTCGAGACTCGGTAACAATAATTAAAAAAAATTGGCGCCAGGAGGCACGTATAGCCGCCCATGCTAAAATATGTTAATGAAAAGTTGGTAGGCAGTTCTTTTAATTTCAAAGTAAAGGAATTTTTCCAATTTTGGTCCGCGGCTATTTTCCCTATCCGCCACCTGGGGTCGCGTCCGATGGGAGTTTGGAGTTCTCCACACGGATTTTCTCAAAAACGAATTACGGAAACACGGAATATCTCAAAAACTGCTACTTTGACTGATTTTGATGTTATTACAAATTTTGTTGCAAATATTATTCCTATTCTTAAATTGAAAACCGCGTTTCGCTAGCTACTGTAATTTTGAAGTTACGACTTTTAAAAATTTTTAACCCCCTCCCATACCCCCTTACCAACCCCCACCCCCACCAAAAACTAATAGCCAGATTCTAGGGTGCCACAGTATTTTTGTACCAAATTTGGTTAAAATCGGTTTTTGAGTTATCGTATTACAGACGGACAGACAGACACCATGAAAATATTTTGTATTTAGGTCATTTATGACCCAAATAACTCATTTTGAGTGAAATTAAAAAAACTTTTTTTTGCTGATCATAATAGCCTACCATACTTGTTGGTATGGTCGGCTAAAACATGTTACATGCGAAAGTCCATTGATACTTTCTAGCGGTCGAAATCAAACTCCTCTAAATCAGTACAGTGGTTACTCCTGAAGTTCTTTTCAAGTTTCTATAATGCTTATTAGCAATTATTGAAGTTTACATATGTTATATTTTATTATTTGGTATAATGTTGTTAAATGCATTAGTTATATTTTATGTTTTTAATTTGGATTTTATAGGCATTTGCAGTTTTTTTCTTGTTTGTGCTTTTTCGTGTTTCTTGCTCGTATTCATGTTAATTTTCTGATGAGTGTTTGATAAAATAAAATTTGATATTATTTTCGTTTAAAATATTTTTTTTTATCGATTTTAGTAAATCTGCTTTCAATTAAAATATGTTTTAATTTTAATCATCATCAAAAGTAAATCATTTTTTAAAAATGCTTACAGTACGTCTGTCGGCTTTAAAAAGATTTTAGAAAACATTACTTACTTATACAAAAATTTATAAAATACAAATTTGCTTTATTTTTTCAATGTTTTTCCACGAAAATGAGACTTAATCTTTATAAAAATTGAAATATTAAGAAGAAAAACAATAAAAATTGAATAAAATCACGCAACTACTTTACCGATAACGACTGCACTGTTCTCCAAGCTCCGTCTACTACCGTTCTCGTAAAAAGATTAGGCGATAGATCCCGTCAGTAAAAATTCGACAATTTTGCAAGTGGCCAACATAGTGAGTGAGCGGAGTGTTTTGCGGTGACATACTCATCAAGTTCAAAAAAATATATACAGGGTTGTTCAGCACATACGACACGGAGTATTGTAGCTAAACGATTAGATTTTTGCAAATTGTAAGTTTTGGGTTCGTTGAAGGACTATTAGAGCTACAATTTAAAAATATTTTTAAAAGATACAGAGTGTCCCAAATAAATAAAAAATATCAAAGTTGTATTTTTTTAAATTGAACACCCTGTATATTATTACATTTTTAGATTCTACGATTAAAATAAAGGTAAATTTGAGAAAGGTTTATCACACTTAAACCTCACCGTTTTTGAAATATTTTCAATTTTGTGAAATTGCAGTAAAAATTTTAAGACTTCATTTCTCCAAGGGTATCAAAGTTTTTAATACCAAATATTTACTGAAGTTTATTTATTGATCAGATATTGTATTCCAATAATAAATAAAATACTACCTTTTACAGAGTGTCTAGAAATTTATATTAAATAATTACTAGCTTCAAACGGCAATAACTTGTTTAATTTAAATGGAACACCCTGTATATTTTACGAGAATCAGATGCACAATTTAAGTGTCTATCAAATTGTATAATACCATTTCTTACCTATCTCTTCAAGTTTTCGTAGAAAATGCATTTTCTTATGATTTAGACCTCATTTATAACTATATCCATGGAATATTGACATTTTAGATTATTTTTAAAGATGTAGCAAATTACAGAGTACAGATACTAATATTGTCGAAGTTTTTTTTTATTTATTAATGAAATAAACGAACTATTATTTCATTAAAAAATAAAAAAACTGTTTAAATATTTGTTAAAGAGGACGAATTAATATGATTCCATTATTCAAACTACAGTAATTGATCGTTTGCGTTGATTAATAATAATTGCTACAAATACAAAAAAAAACTGAATTTCGTATGTGTATTAGACAATGTGGTAAAAAGTAATAACTTAAAAAGTTTATTTCATTTTTTGACGAATGCTTATTTATAACAACAGAGACGTTCATTTTCATATATTCTTATTATAATATTGATTTCTGATTCAAATCCACATTTATTTAGAATAATTTATTAACTAACACAATTATTAACAATTATTAAGTATGTAATTAATTAATATTTTGGGTGGAAATAATAGTGGTATATTTAATTAATGGTATACTCTTTTATAAAGATTTAAATAGTTTTCTTTTTGTGTACAAATGGGCTAATATTTTCATTTTTAGCACCTGTACATTTTTTACATTTGTTGCTTTAAAAACAATCTAACGGGTATAGTGATAAATGAGGTCTAAATTATAAGAACATGCATTTTCTACGAAATCTTCAAGGAATATGTAAAAAATGGTATTATACAATTTGATAGACAATTAAATTGTGCATCTCATTCTCACAAAATATACAGGGTGTTCCATTTATATTAAAGAAGTTATTATCGTTTAAAGCTAGAAATTATTTAAAATAAAAACGATACCCTTGGAGGAATGAAGCTTTTGAATTTTTTACTGCAATTTCACAAAATTGAAAGTATTTCAAAAACGGTAAGGTTTAAGTATGATAAACCTTAATCAAATTTACCTTTACTTCAATCGTAGAATCTAAAAATATAATAATATACAGGGTGTTCTATTTAAAAAAATACAACTATAATATTTTTTACTTATTTGGGACACTCTGTACCTTGTAAAATTATTTTTAAATTGTAGCTCTAATAGTCCTTTAACGAACCCAAAATTTACAATTTGTTAAAATTTAACCGTTTAGCTACAATACTCCGTGTCGTATGTGGTGAACAACCCTGTATATAAATTATTAATTATACTCCAATATTGTGTCCGCATTCTTGAAATTCCTTTCATACACATAGATCCAGTAGACGTATTTTAGTTATAAAGATGGTTACGAAATACCCACCATCAATCAAGAAGAAATCTAGACTAAATATATCAAGAAAAAAAATTGAAAGTATCAACAGCAATTCCTAAATTGAAGCTGCGATACTGGCTAAATAGCGCAAGGTTTTCAAGCTTTAATCAATGAATAAAATTCATAGAGGCTTGCCGATATTTTAATTAGAGTGCCACTTAATTAGAAAGATGACATTGGTAAGTAATTGTTATGCAACATCATTGATTTTGTCGATCTCAAAATAATTTAATGACATAATGACACAGATAGTTCACAAATGAAGCATTGCTGTAAACGTAAAAATAACAGACATCATATGGGTTGTAGGTGTAAATAGTGATGTCAAAGACAAATTATCAATTAAAAACAAAATCAATATATTTCATATCAAATAAACTTTTAGTCACGTGATTAAGCTTGGCCGGCACAGAGTTGCCCACTTTTACTTATTTTCTTTTAATCAAAATATTTAAGGACACAAAAAAAAATATTATAAATATATAAACAGCCATTTTGACATCAACAAAACTCACCTTCTTAACAGCACTAAAGGGACATACAGGGCCATTACTACCGCTTTCCCGTTCAAAATATTCTAATAAAGTTGCGATGAGTTTTTACGGCTAGAGAACATTGTTCGACTGCAAGGTCTACTAGTAAAAATGTTTAAACTTTAAGTATCACAAAACAGTTCATTTAAACCAAAAACTCATAAAACAAAACCAAGTGTTAAAACCATGGTTGGCATGATTTAAATCAACTGATTTAAATCATGATTTAAATCGTGATTTAAACTTTATTATAAATCAAAAGATCACTGTAAAAGTTATAAAAATGTGTCCTAGACAACTATAAAAAATATTATTATATATATATTATACCAGGTATAACAGATAATAAATCGAAAAATAACTGTAAATGTTGTAAAACTATATAAAAATATTTATTAATCAATTTAATTCTTTGACCGATTTTTGAACTAATTTTGTGTGAATCCATTAGACCGCTAAACTCAGGGATTTATTTTAAAATTTATGTATAAGTGACAAAAATTCGCTGTTCGAATACATATCATTCGCAAAGTCTAGTGCAGAACTTGGTTCTTCTAATATAGAGACTATACCTTGATTCCCGAGAATCTATAATCGTTGTCAGAAAATATGTTGTTTTATTTTTTTTTGAAACGG